CTCTGGCTTCCTGGCTTTTAATCCCCTTTCTCCTGCTCTTCCCGCTTGCTACTTCAGGCATCCCTGAGTTGTCTCTCCTCACCTGTAACCCTGGGGCTGACTGCTTCTAGCCAAATAAAAGACAGACACAGGAGCTGAACATTTACCTTACGTAGATACACTCCTTGGAGAGAACAATCCTGGGAGAATAAAAGGGCTGTGTGTGCACAGGGAGACAGCTCAGGGGGCAGGAGTGCATGGAGGGATGGACACAGGGAAGAGGTTAACTATGGGGAAGAAGTGGGAAGGGAGCTGTTACACGGTGAGGAATTGCAGTTAGTGTTATGAGACATAATGTGTATGAACTACTGTATGGACAATGAATTTGTTCTGTACACTGCTACCTAAATCATGATAAAAATTAAAAAAAAAAAAAGTACACATGATGGTTACTTAAGGTTGTGCATCAACGTGCCTGTGCCACGATTCTCAGTGATCTGGCCATTACAACGTTGTCATCCCCAATCACCTTCGTGAGGAGATCTGCTAGGGGCAGCCCATCAGAGGAAAGGGAGTCCCTGGGGCTACGGCCTGCTTCCAGTACATACTGAAAAGCTCTGGGAAAGGGCTCTGGCTTCTAGCTCCAGACCCTGCACCTGGCTCGTCCTCACTGGACTTGGACCAGGAGCCTGCTGTGTTGGCTGCTGATCTTGGGACTGTTGCCTTCGCAGCCATGAAGCAACAGTCTTCCATTTTACCTGCTGACCATGGATCTGTTAGCCTCTGAAGCCAGCAGCCTGTTATGATGTCACCTGCCAACCCCTGCAGTTGCGTGAGTCAGGAGAAGTCTCCAGCTTGATGTCTGACCTACGGACTTGGGCCTTGCCAGCCTCTACAACTACATGGTTTTTCTTTCAGACATGTCACAAGTTCTCTCACTCTCACACACACACACACACACACACACACTCTCTCTCTCTCTCTCTCTCTATATATATATATATATATATATATATATATATATATACGTACACATATATATACACGCATGTATTCATATATACACACAGATGTGCATACATATGCATGTATATAAATACACACTCACACAGTCACTGAACTGATTTGGATTCTCTAGAGAAACCAGCCTAAGGCACCACCTGTTTCATCTACCCTGTCTTGTCCTCCCCTCACCTACTTTTATTAAGGTCTTATACATGCTTCTACTGGGAACACTGGTGGCATAATACCTAAGGGATCTGACTACTAACCAGAAGGCTGGCGGTTGAAACCCACCAGCCACTCCTCAGAAGGAAGACTGAGCAATCTACTCCCATAGAGATACCATCTCGGAAACCCAAGGAAGGGCCGCTATGATGGCAGTGAGTTATACACGCTTCTAGGAGCTCTGATAGTGTAGTGGTTAAGGCATTTGGTTACTAACCAAAAAGTTGGTAGTTTGAACCGACAAGCTGCTCCATGGAAGAAAGATGAGGCAGTTGGCTTCCGGAAAGACTGACAACCTTGCAAATTTTCTGGGGCAGTTCCACTCTGTCCTCTAGGGGTGCTGTGGGTCACAATGTACTCCATGGTAGTGGGTGTGGTTTGAGCTTTGTTTCTGAGAAGACTGACAGCTTTGGAGACCCTCTGGGGAAGTTCCACCCTGTCCTCTAGGGGCGCTGTGAGTGGAATCAACTCCACAGCAGTGGGTGTGGCTGAGGCTTTGCTTCCGTGAAGACTGACAGCCTTGGAGACCCAATGCAGATCACTGTGGTTCAGAATCAACTCAATGACAGTGAACTTGGTTTGGTACATGCTTCTAACATTTTTATGCAAATACAAGCTAACCAGAAGCCACTCCTTGGAAGGAAGATTGGGCAATCTACTTCTCTAGTGATACTGCCTCGGAAACCCAAGGAGGGGTCGTTATGAGTCAGATCCGACTTGACGGCAGTTAGGTTTTTTTTTAAGAAGCTAATATGGATTTAAATTCTAAGGATCTCCCCCTTTACGTTGCAGAAACGCTTTAAATTGAAGGCAGACCTACCTGCAGATCAGACTCGATGAGAAAAACCCCCAGAGCGATGACAGCATCCCGGCGTCTTTCGTCCAGCTGGAAGATCCCGTGGAAATCCACCGGGCACATGCAAAGCAGCTTCTGGACCTAAAAATACAACAACAAACACAAAGATATCAACCCACGTTCAGAATGCCCCAGTGCCACCAATGCTCAGTGAATCTACCCAACCCTAAGTCCTTTTTCTCCAATGAAAACATAAGAAAAGGGCATGCCCAGCTTTTCAAATGATTGTACACATGACCCCAAAACGTATGTTGTGGTTGTTACTGTTAGGGGCCACTGCGTCAGCTCCGACTCAGAGCGACCCCATGGACAACAGAACAAAACGCTGCCCAGTGGGCGCCAGCCTCACAGTCCTTGCTATGCTTGAGCCCATCACTGCAGTCGTTGTGTCAATGCATCCAAAACAGACACCTCAAAACAGCTCGGCTCGGAGGAACCTGAGCCCTGGGAGGGAGGTGACGGCCACGCAAAGGAGCTAAGGCACCCAGTGTGAAAGCCAGGCCGGACTCCCACTCTGTTGCAATGTGCCTGCGCAGCTCCCCGCCGACCCGCAGGAGCAAGGAAGCCCCTCAGGGTGCCCTCCACCACTCAGTCCACAAAGTGCGCAGTCCCCACACCACCTGACAGGCCACGGAGGTGAGCGGCAGGCCAGACCTCAGCAACTTGACATACAGGGAAACGTTAGGATCGTCTTCCAGAACCACCACGAGCAAACGTCTGCCGAGAAGGGGTCACACACCTGAAGGTGCACGGCCGGCCCTCCCCGACTCGAGCAGCGCTCACTGACTGAGGCAGTGATAACGCCGAGGCCCCGGCCGCCGCGGCTCTGTGGCCCCAAGAGAGAGGCGGCTGGCTGACAGTCACAGGTCTCGGTGCAGCGTTTTTATTTATTGTTTATGTTTATTGTGATTTGGGTGAAAGTTTACAAAGCAAATTCATTTGCCCCAAAGCAGTTCATACACATTTTGGACATCGACTGCAATCCCCACAATGTAACAGCTCCCTTCCCACTTCCTCCCCGTGGTCACCCCTTGCCAGTGTCCTTCTCTCCCACGCACTCCCGCCCCCTGAGCTGTCTCCGTGTGCAAACATTGTTCTCCCATGATCTCTCCAAGGAACGTATCTGCCTGATGTAAGTGTTCACCCCATATGCCTGTCTATTGTTTGTCTGGAAGCCACAGGAGCGAGTTCAGTTCCAGACCCGAAGGGTGCCTTGGGGCCATAGTCTCAGGGGTCTCACCAGGCTCTATCAGACCAATAAGAGAGGCAGCACTTTGAACTTGGACTTCTAGCCTCCCAAACTGTAAGAGAACAAACCTCTGTTTGTTAAGACCACCCACTTGTGGTATTTCTGTCATAGCAGCATTAGAGAACAGAGACAGTGACCTGGGTCACCAAAAAAAACGTCCAGCGAATTAAAACAAACAGAAACACACACGAGAAACGATGCCATCTTCCTCCGAGTAAATGCCCAGGCACAAGGGCATAAAGAAACTGTTAAAGGTGAACCTAATCTGCCAAGTAAACTTTCATCTGAAACACAAAAATATGATTAAAAAAAAAACAGCATATGTATGAAAAGTGAATTTACTCTGTAAATCTTCACCCAAATCCTAATTAAAAAAAAAAAACACCAGCATAAAGCAACAGTCAAGAGAGAAGGCAGTTGCTGGGTTCCAGCTTTTCCTGAGAGGACGTCTCTGCCATCCAAGGGTCAATAAGTCCCCAGAAAGGGCAGCACACCCACCACAACACAGGGACAAGGCATCCACCATGAATCACACCGCTATCTGCCAAGGAGGAGTCAAGGGTCTGGAAGGCTCCCTCAAATCAGACACAGGAAGGAAGGGGCTTCGTTCGTATCAGCGTGAGGCAGGGAGCTGAGGGCACAGTGATTAATGAGTCAACATCAGATATCAAGGATGAACCCAGGCGGGGTCAAAGTCCCCGCACTGCGCCCAGCCCCTGCTCGAAAACACAGTGGCACATGAGGCCACAGACCCGCACAGGGACGAGAGTGTGTCACAGGACAGACTGGGGACTGAGAACCTTGGCAGATGTGGCATGACATCAGCATGAAACGAGGAGAAGATGTGGCCACACAGGCCAAAGTACCCACCGATGTCCTGACACACCAGACACAGCCACGCAGGAGATCCTACACCCTTAGGTCCTCAGCTGGTTTCCTGGAAGGCATGGCAAGGGGCGGGCTTGGTTTTCCTGTCTGATATGAATACGCTGGATATCGGCCATTTTTAGCAGAGCGACATGTCCGTGGACGCTGGCAGAGTCTCAGTACCCTCCAAGGCTGATGTAATGAGGGGACAGGATCACATGGTGGCAGCCAAAGACACAGTCACCATCACCAGGAGGTCCACAACCAAAAAACCCTGCCACGTAGTCAATTCTGACTCACAGCGCCCCTAGAGGACAGAGTGGAACTGCCCCACAGGGTCTCCAAGGCTGTCAGTCTTCACAGAAGCAAAGCCCAAACCACACCCACTGCCTGGAGTCCATTCTGACCCACAGCGCCCCTAGAGGACAGAGTGGAACTGCCCACAGGGTCTCCAAGGCTGTCAGTCTTCACAGAAGCAAAGCCCAAACCACACCCACTGCCTGGAGTCCATTCTGACCCACAGCGCCCCTAGAGGACAGAGTGGAACTGCCCACAGGGTCTCCAAGGCTGTCCAGTCTTCACAGGAGCAAAGCCCAAACCACACCCACTGCCTGGAGTCCATTCTGACCCACAGCGCCCCTAGAGGACAGAGTGGAACTGCCCACAGGGTCTCCAAGGCTGTCAGTCTTCACAGAAGCAAAGCCCAAACCACACCCACTGCCTGGAGTCAATTCTGACCCACAGCGCCCCTAGAGGACAGAGTGGAACTGCCCCAGAAGGTCTCCAAGGCTGCCAATCTTCACAGAAGCAGACTGCCTCATCTTTCTCCCATACAGCAGCTGGTGGGTTCAAACTGCCAATGTCTCTGTTACCAGCCCAATGCTTTAATCACAGCACCACCAGAGCTCCTATGAATGACCCAATTACCACAGAGTTGATTCCGACTCATAACGACCTCTGTTAGGTTTCCAAAGCTACAAATCTTTATGGAAGTAGACTGCCCCATCTTCCTTCCACAGGGCAGCTGATGGGTTTGAACCTCTGACCTCTGGTTAACAGCAAAATGTCCTACCCACCCATCACAGCTCCTTCCGGTGAATGAACAAAGAAGTTAATTCAGTATGGATGCCAGAATCATCCAAGGGAGCTGGTGTATGACATACAGCCACTCCCTCACGGCCTTAGGAGCCAAGGGCAGTTACACCACCAGGAAAAATTATGCAACTGCTCATGTGTAACACAACCCAGAAATCAGACAAGGGAAAGCCCTGAAAGTCAACCAAACAACAGCTAGGCTTCAGTGCAAAAGCTGGGGTGTGTGAGAGGCATCTGAAGACTGGAACTGAGTCCCTCAGCAGGGGGCACACGTCTGACAAGGCAGAACTGGTCTGGCGAGGGATACATGACAAAACCACCCCCTGCATTACCACACACCAGAGACTGGCCACACAACCTCATCTAATCCTCAAACCTCACTGTTGCTGCTGCTAGGTACCGCAGGTGGTTGTGACTCACAGCAACCCCACGAACACACTGCTCGGTCCGGGGTCAGCCCCACAGTCCTTGCTATCCCTGAGCCTATCGTGGCAGCCACTGTATCAATCCATCTTGTTGAAGATCTTCCCTCTTTTGTCAACCCTCCACCTTACCAAGCACGATATCCTTCTCCAGGGAATGGTCCCCTCTGAGAACAGGACCAAAGCAGGTGAGACGAAGTCTGGCCGTTCTCGCTGCCAGGGAGCATTCCAGCTGCACCTCTTCCAGGACAGATCTGTTAGTTCTTCTGGCAGACCATGGTGCTTTCCGCATTCTTCACCAACACAACTCAAAAGCATCAACTCTTCAGTCCACAGATATTATTAATCCTCCCCATCTTACGGATGAAGAAACTGACACACAGAGATAAAAGGCCTAATGCAGGAAAAGGCATTAACATGATTTAAAAAAAGAAAAAATGAAAGAAACATAGCACTGATTTTTTTTTTTTCAGAATTTCCTAACAAAGTTGTTTCCTTTGACGTTTTTGGCTTCCAGTGGAGGGAGGCATAGAGTCTGTCATTGTAAAAGGTCACTTTGTAACTTTTATCATTTCGTTTCTTGTCCTGCTGTGACAGGACCACAAAGTGGGTAGCTTTAAAGAACAGAAACAGGTTGCCTCACAACCTTGGAAGCTGCAAGTCCAATGCAGGCATCGGCGTCAGGGGAGGATCCTTCCCTGCTGGTGGTCCCAAGAGTTCCTCTGCATTCCTTCACTTACAGCCCCATCCTCACGTGGTCTCCTCTGTGTGTGTGTGTGTGTCCATACTCCCCTTGATAAGATGCTGCTTGGATTCAGGGCCCCATCCTGTGGCCTCATTAACATACAGAAAACCCTGTTTCCAAAGAGGATGACGTTTCCAACAACCATGGGGGGACACATACACTTCTGGGGAACACAGTTCAACCGCCTCCAGTCACTAGGCTCAGCATCTGAGACAGGGACAGCCAGGGCTGCTCCCATGTAAAAGAAGGAGTCCCAAATGTGTTAGGCTGGATTCTCTAGAGAAGCAAAACCATTAAAGCTTAGAGAGAGAGAGAGAGAAAAGGAGAAATTTATCTTAGGAAAATGGCTCACACACTTACAGAAGCTGGCAAGTCCCAACTTCTTGGATCAAACGTCAAGCTGGAGGCTTTTTGCAGTATAGCAAATTACTTAGTGTGGCTTTGCTACCCATAAGTCTTTGTAAACTACGAGGTGGAATTTGCCATGAGCAACTGAGGAGCTCCTGATTGCTAAAGTTATCTACCTGGGGTATTTCTGTTGGGAGTGGCATAAAACAATGTTCTGGGAGGTTCCTGCTCTCTCTCAGGTGCTTAGAATTCTGATGTTATGATTGGTTGGTTTGGCCACTCTGCCGGGCTCAAAAGGAGGCCTCCTAGAGGCAGAGCTCTCTCTCTGACTGCTGGCTGACGAAGGACGTGCCCA